GAGCTTGGGGCACCCTGTCCCCCAACCAAGTTTGGTAGAGTCCCAGGAAGGGAGGCAGCAGCAGCCAGGGGATGAGAAGGAGCAGGAACACCCTGCTCTTGGCTGTGCCCCCACTATAACTGCCCTACCACCCCAGCCCTTGTCTTCTCCTAGTGGAGCTTGTCCACCTGAAGACTACCCCATGGCTGAGTGGGTGCAGATCCCCTCCAGGTGCAAAGCTCTGCCCCCTTCCCCTCAAGACCATCACATATAGTGAAGGAACAGTTTAGCTTCTTGGGGCCTCCTTAGTTGTGCCTGACTCCCCACCCATGGGAAATATTAAAAGGGTTGTCTCAGTAGAGGAGGCTTTGGGGATGCTGGACACTCCCAAACAGGAGCCCATGCAGGAAGCCCCTCACTCCACTGTCCAGAGGTTACTCCCAGTGCTGACACTGAGGCTGACCCAGAAGGTCTGGCAGCAGAGCCCTCCCCCTCTGATTAATCTGGGGAAGACATAGACCCTTGGGCTCGCCCCAGTGAGCCTTGAGGAGGAATATCCCCTTTCCCAGGACCCCAAGGCAGACACCAAAGCTACCCTGGTGCCTGATGGGACTCTTCCATCCCATTCCCAGAAAAACCTCACTTCCATCCTGCCCCATGGTCCTGCACCAGAGGGGGTCAGGGTTGGGTCCCCTGATCAACAAGCTGATCTTATCAGGAATCCTGCATAGACCTGCCAGGAATCCAGCTCTACCCCACCCCCATCCTTACCCTGACATTTGTCCCAAGGGGCTACAGAGCTCTCCCAATCCAAACCAGAGTCTGGGGTCTTAGTGGACCGGGGGGTTCAGACAGTACCTACACTGGGCACTGAGATGTGTGAGACCCCTGCTGAAACACCTACTCCATGCCCCCCAGCCATGAAGTCTTTTAAGATCGTGACCCTCAATGTCCACAATTGCAGGAAGGATCTCTGGTGATGCTGGGTGCTCTCCTTCCTTCAGGAGGGGGGTTACCCTGTGGTATTCTTGCAGGAAACCCTGATGACTCCAGCCAACAGACCTAATTGGCAGCTGGAGTGGGGAGGCAGGGACTTTTTTACTCCCCTCTCCGCCACCTATGTGGTGGCCACCCTCAAGCCTGCAGCCAGAGGTTCTCTAGGACATTGAGGTGGTGCCAGGGCACCTGCTGCACCTGTGGGGCCAAGTGCAGGGGCTGGTCCTGAATGTGTACACCCCTGCAAGGGACCCAGAGTAGGCAGATTTTTTTCCTCCAGGTGTTCACTTACATTGGCACCCTCAACCCTCGCGAGTGCCTGGGTCCTTGGCGGGGACTTTGATGTCATCCTAAACACACAAGACCAGTTGGGCAGGGAATGGAACCAGGCTGCTGCGGGTGTCCTCAGGGAGATCCTGATGGACTACTCTGTCGTAGACATGCCTTTCAACCTACTGACCCCCCTACCTTCACCTATATGAGGGTGGGGAGGAGTATTTTGTACAACATGTATTTTGTTGTGGGGCAAATTTGGAGTAAAACAACCCTGCCCCACTACTCCCAGATCTGCAGCCAGGGGGAGGTGAAGGCAGTATAAAAAACTTCCCTGGTGAGCCGCTCTAGGCTACTTGCTCTCAGGAGCTTCTGAGGCCCAACCAGTTAACACATGGGGACACTAGTCCCCTGTGCCAGCTGGACTGCTGTAGTAGCCCTGACCTAGAGTGGCCTCTGCACCCTCTACCCACTGCAGCATTCTGGCATTGGGGATTGCTGCCTGGCTCTGATCTGCTGCCACCTGCGACAGCATCTGCCCCCTTGTACCTGCAGCCCTATATCTGCACACCTGCCAGACTTGGATGGGGACCACACAGCCACCTGGGCTGTGGTATAGGCACTGCAGCAGAACTGTCTGCATCTCTGGACAAGCTGCCAGTGGGCTGTGGCTGCACTGTTCACCTTTGAGGAGTACTGATGCCATGTGTGCCCGTGCCCTGCCATGTGGGTAGCTATTGCCTGGAAAATGTGCTCATTGTGGTGACCTGCTTTGAACTGTCAAAGCAGGTCCTCCTGGCCACAGATGGCCAGGAGGTCAGCCACCTCATTTGCCCTCCAGCTGGGTCCCCGGTGCCAGCCCTGGGCAGTCTACTCTGCCTGGTCCTGATACTTGCCTCGCTAGCAGGAATCCTGGCATCTCCTATTTAAAAGTTGCAATTTCTCTGATAAAACATCCCAAATTCACTGTTTAAAACACCCAAAAATCCATATTCTTCCATGATTAAAATGAAATGCCATTATATATAAATTGACAGACAGACAGACCAACCGACCTTAGGAAATGTTTTCTTGATATATTGACAATTTTAAAGCAATTTGGAAGCCTACCGGTACCTCTACCATCATAATAAAATAAATTCTAAAATGTGTGTGTTTTGGTTTTATTATTCTAGAAAAATCAGAGCTCCCCCTTCCCCTTCTGCTAACCAGGATGTGGGGAAAGCTGCACCTGCAGCCACAGCTCCCACCAGCAGGTCCCATCCTGTCTGGCATCTGGGTATGCAGGGTGTGAGATGTGGGAGGGATATGAGGTTTGCAGGAGAGGGGTGGGAAGGGGTGTGGGGCTCTTGGATGAGTGTATGGGGGGGTTCATGGGTGAGTGTGGGGTATGTGGGTATAGGCCACCACATGCCTTCCACCCACTTACCCCCTGTGGCATGCAGCCACCAGCTGGGCCATCAGGGCCATGGCTTGCTGCAGGCACAGCCTGCAGTGGCACAGCACAGCCTGACCTAGGGTCTGTACATGGTGAATGGACCTGGCTTGGCACACCTTGCTAGCACATGGCTTTGAACAGGACTGGTATGGCCACCACCCACAGCATCTCTCCACCTGTCAGGCCGGGCAGGGCCAGGTTGGGTCCTGTTTTCAAGTGCCCCATGCAGCATCCCTATGTGCCAGCCACCTCTATTGAGGCAGGACCCAACTCAGCCCAATGCCCAGCCCCTTTGTGGGGTGCCAGGACCCTGGGAGACAGCAAGAGTAACCTGGTTCTGCCCAAAACCACATGGCCGCAGGCCTGGCTGGACTACCCTGCATCAGTTTTTTTTCAGGGTGTTATTTAAAAAAAAACAACACAAAAAACAAAAAACAAAAAAGAGGATTTCCCAGTATCAGATTTAGAGTCTGTGCTGCAAATACACAGTGCAGGGAACATTTTTAGTTTCCAGCGTGCCTCTTGTGGCATCTTAAACTGCTTTGAGATGCAGCAACAAGCATGTGCTCACTCATTTGGACACACCCATGCAATATGTGGCACTGCAAATATGTCTGCAGTGCCACATACCACACAGTCGGGTGTTCTCTGAACAGCAAGGGTACACTATCCGTGTGTGTGATGCTCTACTTTTTTTTTTTTTCCAGCGGGTTTTTTTTTTTACTCCTGGATATCCAGGGGTCAAAAAAAAGCTGTGGGAAAAATAAACAGAGCAGCACATGGGGGGGGAGCACACAGCTGAAAAGCAGAGCCAGGCTGCCTGGAGCCATGCTGCGGCTGCTGGCCAGGCTCCATAGGCAGGATTGCCACAGCTGCAGCCCTGGGAGGCCTCCAGAACCCCAAGTAAGGCTGCTGGGGCCAGCACAGTGCTGGCCCAGCCTCCCCTACTACCCCCAGGATACCTTGTCACTTGCCAAAGTGTACCTGGCATGGGTGTTCCCCAGGGGCAGGTAGCTATGCACTGCTTCTACTTGTCCCTGGGGAACCAAATGTCAGCACTTATCTGGACACACCCATGGTATCCTGGAAATATGCTAGGGGAAAGGATTTTTGTGTTTGGTAACTTTGCTGAACCTGAAGAAGAATGCTTTCCAACTACCCCAACCATGTGATTAATGCAGTAAAACATACCAGCCAGAAATACCCTTGCTTTTTGGAATTTTGTTTTTGATTTTTCTGTTAGCCAGCAAACTCAAAATGAATAACTGATTTTCACTTTTGTAACTATTAGGCTGCTGGAAGATATTAGTTTACATGCATGACTGGGGTCTGATTAATTTTATCCTGGATCCCAAAAGTCATGTGTCCTGGCATGCCAGATGTGCAGTTCTGAGGACCTGGGATTGCACACACTGGTACCTTTAAAGCCATGCTATGAAGCCCAGCATCAGGGACCAGTGACATGGGCTGCAAGGTATGACTGAAAACATGCTGGCACCTTCAAAAATCTTGCTGTGCAACCCACATGTGGGGCAACACAGTCAGGCTTAACATGCTACATGTTCAAACTAAAGTGCCATAAAAATGATAAACAAAGAAGTTCCACATTAAACGTAGAATATCTTTATGGCTGGTTTACCATATTATGTTATGATAAAGGGTTGAACATGTAACATATTACAATTTAGTGCATGATTAACACATTAATTTGAGATAAATGTAACATCTGCCAAGGGCCTTACTTTCACTTTTAGGTCCTTATATACTAACACAATGCTACAAAGTTGGGTTGCAAAAATTTGCAGAGGAGTCTTTCTGATTGTTAAATATCCATATTTCTATTTTTTCTTAAAAGTCCTGGAAATCTTCCTGGTGTCCTTTGGGTTTGGAATTTTTAAATCTTGTTTTAATACCACCTACATTTTGGGTCATATTTGAGCAAACAATATATATTAAATTTAGTGGAAAATGGAGCATAATTTCCAGAATACTTTTCTAAATACAGGATTAGGAAAGTATTTGTAATTTAACAAAATCATACAGCACTGTAGTAATGGAAAACCAACACCTTTTTCTAAGTAAACTGTCCAGTTCCATTTTCAAGAAGGCTCTGGAAAATACATGCCAGAGTTTAAGGGTAATCTGTAGTAGAGGTTGTTAAGCTTTTCAGTGTGAAGCACCTGGTTAGCAAGAAAAGGTGCTATTTTTGCTGTGAACAAAACATTTTATTTCCTTTCAAAAGTCAATAGCAGAGCTATGAAAAATAATTAAACCCTATATTACAAGTGTGTTGGGGGGGATTTTGTCCCTACAGAATGTGATTGAACTTGTCAAATCTGCAGATACCTCTTTCCCCGCTCCACTAGAAGAAGGTCTTTCTTACAATATATATTCATCATTTATAGCAATGCCTCCAGCTGCAGAGGTAAAGTTTTCTTTTTATATCTGTTTCATTATGAGCCATCTACATCTAACTTTTTCACATTAAAGGACCAACTAAATCACCAGTTTCATTTCTTATTTGTGCAATCAAGATACTGGAAGCATTCATATTTACATTGAATGAAGTTACTGTTATTGTATTAAATAGTCAGCAAGGAAGGGTATATGGAGTAATTTAGTTGGTATTCCTAAGCATCTCCCTCTAAGCAATTGCATTACCTCTGCATTGTGCCCTCTGTGTCTTTACCAATTAAAAGAAAATTCAGAAGTTCACTTCCAAAGCATAACTTTGAAAATACCAGCTCAGTATTTGGCTGTTGTGTTATGGGGCTGGGAGAATTTTGATGCTGTACCTAACAGTAGAATGTTTAAGTTGAAACAATTTGTATGGCATTTTATTGTTAGGAAATTGATCAAGAGTATTATCCAGAAGAACACCAACCAGAGGAGGAATCCCTAAAAGTAGATCCATTGACTGGTTTCACCACTGAAGATGTTAAATCTGTACTGGGTCAGATCACAAATGAAGTTATTGGCAACCTGCAGGTACTAGTACTACAAATATATTCAGTAATTCTAACTTTGGCTAATTGGCTAACCCCTACTTTAATGACTGTAAACTGTACTTACACCATATGGGCAGAAGAACCCATTCATATGCTGTAAGAATGTGATTTATCAGCTATAGGTAGCTTGCAGATTAGTCACCTCATGAGATAAGATCCAAAAAATAGAGATTAAGGGGCATAACAACATATGTTTCCACAATTACTATGAATTTTGGAAAGCATGAGCTAAATCCTGCTCTTCTTGATACAAATGATAAAATTCCCTTAGATGCCCTGCAAGAACACATGCAGTGTTGTACATGTACAATAAACATTTTCAAACATGACATTTTGCAATGTATAGCAAGTATTTATGGCACAGACAGAAGTGAGTTTTTGCTTGATGTGGCCTCTGAAACCACTCCTCTATTGCCATGACCAGGCAGAAGTGCATGGTTGCAAAGCACTTTAAAAGGGCCCAATCCCACAGTTGCATGAGGGTTCAGATGAAGACATTTCAAAACATAGCATCTTCAGTAACTTGTCTGCACTGCCTCCCAGCCTGTCACTGTTTTCAGAATAGGAGGGGAGGGAAAAGGGAGAAGAGGGAGTTTGGTCTGGGGTTTTTCTAGCCCACACAGAGGGTGAGGTGGGTTGATCCACCCACCCCACACTCCAGTGTGGACTGGAGAACCCATAGAATGAGCTCTGCTCCATTTCCCCCCCTTCTGTTCTGAAAGCATCCCAGGCTGAGGATGTTTTCAGAACAGAAGGGAGGAAGGAAGGGCCATTGCTAGGGGAAACCAGCTGCAGGTTTGAAGCCAGCAGCTAGATTCTTTTCACCCCTGGAACCAACAGTGAACTTCTGTTTGGTCTGAGGAATTGTTATAACTCAGCACATTCCCTGCAAAGAGTTCTGAATTACAGCAGGGAGCTGCACTTGTCTGGATGCACCCTAAGGGTGCATACACATGTGTGGAAGTTTGGTTCCCTGGGGACAAGTAGCAGTGGCACACCTTACATCTCCACTACTTGTCCCTGGGGAATGCCTGTGCCATGCAAACTTTGGCACACAGCAGGTTGCCATGCGTGGGGTAGGGGAGGCTGGGGCCAGCACTGGGCTGGCCCCAGCAGCCTGTTCTGGGGGCCTCCCAGGGCTGCAGCCATGGCAATTCTGCTACATGGAGCCTGTCCAGCAGCACAGCTCAAGGCAGCCTGCCTCTGTTTTTCAGCAGGTCTCAGTGGCCAAGCATTCATTGCATCCATTTTTTTCCTGTGATTTTTTTTGACCCCTGAATGGTCCCAGCTCCACCCTGGAGGGCCACAGCCTCCATTCCCCACAGGGCCCCAGCTCCTCTGCCCAGGATCCTAGGCACCCTGGAGGATAGCCCCCCCCAGGACCCCAGCTCCACCCTGGAGGGCCCCAGCCCCCACTGCCCAGGGCCCATTACTAACCTTTAACAGCAGCAGTGGGGGGGACCATGAGCTGAGCCCAGCCTGGTCCTGCCAGCCTTGGAGCTGCTCTTGCTACCCAGCCAGGCTGGTCTTGTGGCAGCAGGACCTGGCGCAGCACACAGGGACCACGTGCCAGGCCCAGCCGGGTCCTGGGCCCCCTCTGCAGCCCAACCAGGCTGGGCCCATGGTGACAGGACCCAGTGCAGCATGCAGGGACCATGTGCCAGACCAATCTGGCTCCTGGGGCCCCTCTGCAGCCTGGCTGGACTGGGCCCAGCTCTCGGTGGCTCACTAGTCCAGCTTTGCACCAGAGTGGGACACATGGCTCCAGGAGGCATGCACAGGAGACACGCCTCCCAGAGCCCTGTGACCCTCTCTGGTGCAAAGCCAGATTAGTGAGCCACATGTGGGGGGAGGGGGCGAGGACCTGATCCAGCCCCAGGCACAGGGGGCAGAGGAAGGAGCTGGCCCTGGAGCCTGGCCCATGCTGACAGGACCTGGTGTGGCACACGGTTCCTGCATGCCATGCTGGGTCCTGCCACCGGCCGAGCTCTTCCTATGGCAGCAGGACTGGGCCTAGCATGCGGGGCCCGTGTGGAGCCAAGCCGGGTCCTGTCAGCCCTGGGGCTGCTTGTGTGGTGACATGAGCAATTCCAAGGCCAGCAGGACCCAGCTTGGCTCCACACGATCCTTGTGCACCAGGCCGGGCCAGGGAGCATGAGCCGCCTGGGGCTGGGAGGACGCAGCTCTGCTCCGCACAGTCCAACGTGCTGGGCCAGGCCAGGCAGCACGAGCACACTGGGCGGCAAGGATGCTATCAAAATCCTCCCAGCAATCCAAGACTTGCTGGCGGACCGGCGGGTGTAGTCACAGTCAAGAAATGCAAGTAGCTAACCCCTGGGGACCACTGGAACTGAGAGGTCTGCAGGCTCCATAGAGCCTGCTGGTTTCTCAGATGCCCTCCTTCTGGTCCTGGGGCTCAACAGGCTCCTTAGGCACCATCTGAACTCCCCAGTCTGCTACAACCCTGGACTCTGGTTGGGATTGGGAGAGCTCTGTAACCCCTTGGGACTGGGGTGGGGGTAAGGATTGGGGTAGGGCTCCTTCACAAGATGGTAGGGTAGAGCTGGAGTTCTGAGGGGGGGGGTATCTGTGCAGGGTCCTCAACAAGATCAGCTTGATGCTCAGGGGACCCAACCCTGACCCACTCTGGTGCAGGACCATGGGGCAGGCTGGAGGTGAGGTTTTTCTGGAAGGTGGAGGGAAGAGACCTGTTAGGCAGCCCAGGTGTCTTTGGTGTTTGCCTCAGGGTCCTGGGAAAGGGGACCTCCCTTCCCAGGGCTCAATGGGGAGAGCCCCAGGGCCCCTGTCTCCCCCAGATCAGAGGGGGAGGGCTCTGCTGCCAGACCTTCTTCTGAGTCAGCTTCAGCACCCATGGTCTCAGTGAGTAGGCCCTGGCCAGTGGTGTGAGGGACTTCCTTCATGGGCTTCTCTTTGGGAGTGTCCAGCAGCCCTGAAGCCTCCTTTATTGGGATAACCCATTTAATCTTCCATGGGGGTGGGGTGTTGGGTACAGCTGGAGAGGCCCCCAGAAGCTGAACTGCTCATTCTCCCCATGTGATAGTCTGGGGAGGGGGGGCAGTCCTTTACATAAGAGGGCGCCATCTGCACCCAGGCCTCTCTCTTGGCTTTGTGCCTGGAGGGGACCTACACCCACTTCACCTGAGGACTGCCCTATGGCTGACAGGCTCCAGTAGAAGGTGAGGGTTGGGGCCATGGAACAGTTACAGTGGTGGCATGGCTGGGGGGGGCCCTCTCCCTCTCCACCCCCAACCACTGCCCCCCTCCTTGGAACTCTGCCATACTTTGTTGGGAGGCTGGGTCCCCTGAGCTCACAGGGGGGCTGGTAGTTGTGGATGGGATACCAGGGGGGCCCCAAATGGGGAGGCACACTGGTGGTAGGGGCACCCCTTTTGTCAGTGGGACCTGCAGACACCCTCCTCACCTGACCCATGCAACAGCCCCAGGGCACAGCACCAGAAGCACCACAGGTCTCCCAGCATATAGAAAATCCTCACTAAGGCCCCTGAAAAGTAATTATGAGCCTCCAGCCATGCTCCCACTGCCAACTGGATAACGACCTGATGACAGCATGAGTGCACATGGCTGAGGCTGGGGTCTTGGCACCCCAGCAAGAGGGCCACTACCAGGGAGATAACTCTCCTCAGGGTTTGGAGATGGGGGAGCAGAGTCAGGGACAAGGTGAGTGGAAGTGCCAGTTGGTGTGGTTCACCTGGTCCCTTCAGGCACTGGTGGTCTAGGCATGGGGGTAGGGCCCCTGGGATCTCCTCCAGGAGAGGCCTGACCAGGGGAGAGCCCCTGGCCCTGCTGGCTCCTCACAGCAGAGGTCTCAGGCTTCTCTACCAATGAAAGAGGTTGTGTGGACTCTGCCTCTGGGGTCAGGGCTGCAGGGGCATGCATCCCCTTGGGGGCTTGGCTGGGATCTGCCCCCATAGTAGAAGCTGCAGAAAGTTCTGTGGAGGAATCTCCCCCCCCACCCCGAAGGTTCCTGCCCTGCCATTGCTTCATATCTGGGAGGGGAAACCAAAAAAAGTACAGTGGGGATGGTGAGCCTAATAGGTGCAGCCTAGGGTTGTGGGGGAAATACGGGGGAAAAGGAAGGGGGCTGAATCTCACTGAGCTACATTCCTGCAGGAAAAAAAAAGCTGGGAGGGCTATGCTTGGGGAATGTGGAACACAAGGGCTGGGGAGACTCAAGCTGGCTTACTCAGCCACACAAAAAACCCCACAACAAGGGGAGTGGACCACAGGACTTACCACACAAGGGTAAAACACACAGGGAAGGCTGCTGAGGCAGATGTAAGAGATGGCTGGAGCAGTGGAGGGGATTTGTTTGTTGAAGATCAGTTCAGGAGCCCCTCAGGCCTCCAGCTAAGCATTCAGCAGCAGAGCAATAGGCAGGAAAAATAAAGCAGGATCAAATGCAGTGAGGCAGCTGTGGGGGAGGGCAGGAACAATCAGTCAATTAGGGAGTAATCCAGTGCAGGTTTGGTGTTGAGTGGTGCAAGGTGATGCAGCAGGGAATCTTCCTCTCTTCTGAGAGGTGGCAGCAGTGGAACAGATGGCAGGAACAGCAGCAGTGACGGTAGGAGCCATCCATTTCAGCCACTCAGGATGTGCTTCTGGTGAGAGTGGAGGTGAAGGTGGGGGTTGGCCTGCCAAGGCAGCTGGGGCAGGCAAAGCACCTTTAGGCTCCAGCAGTGATGGTGGGGGAGAGGCCCACAGGCAGCACAGGCTCCTTCCCCAAGCTGTCCCCCAACCTCAGCTTGACAGCAGGCTGAGCAGCAGGCCAGAAGCAGGGGTGCAGAAGCTGGGATGCAGTGGAGTGGGCTGCTCCCCAAGGGGGAGCAGCAATATGCAGCAAAGGATTGCCCCCCATGGGGGGGGGGGCAGCAACAGTAGCAGCAGCAGCCCAAGGCAGGAAGCGGTGCAGCCAACTTACTCCCAAAAACTGTGAGACCAAGCCAGTAGCTAACAGCAGTCAAAGGCAGGATAGGGCCTGGCCATTTTCTCCCCAGAAGCTTCTGAGACCAAGCTTGCAGCAATCAGTAATAGCAGCAGCCTGGGACAGGAAGGGGCATGACCAACTTCCTCACAGAGGCTCCTCCCTTAGAAGCTTGCTAGGGCAGCTTTTTATACTGATGGAGCTTTTTATACTGTGCTGGCTCTAGCTCCCCCTGGCTCCAGATCTGGTAGGACCCAGGCAGGGTTATTTTGTCCCAAGTGGCACAATTTGCTCCACAACAAAGTGCATGTCCAGGCACATGTGCTGAGGCAAAAAGCCCTGGTTCAGATTTGCACTGCTTCTATTTGAGCTGCTGCAAGCACACATGCCTGCATTTGTGGACACACCCCAGAATTGCATTGTCATATTATTACTGATGAAGAGTTTATTAAAATGTGTTACAATCCTGGGACCTTACATTATAAATCTTACATTAACATTTAAACACTGAAAAATTGCAACATTTTCGAGTCCCTATGTATAATATATATTCAGAATTATGTCTGTAGTTTAGAAAGACAACTAGAATCTCATAAATTTGTGTTTTACTGTTTATTTCCAATAATGTTTTATAAATTCCAATAGTCGCTTAATGAAATGCATTACACTAGAAACCAAACATCTGTAGCAAAAAAACACAGTGGCAATAACCAAATCCCAGATCAATTTTTTTCTGATTTTGTGTTTATTGGTAAAGTCTGTCTTAGAATACAGACAAATTAGCCTATCTCCCAACACAAGGTTATAAGAAAAATGGCTGTCCCAATATCACTACCTGTTCATGGCAGATATACCATACATTGGAAGTGTACATAGTAATATGATAACGTGTTATCACATAAATACAGCCTGGAACACCAGAATGTCTGCACAGCAGGAAGGTGTATGTAGGATAATGTCTGTGTTAATGCAGTACAGTATTTCAAAACCACAAAGACAATGTGCAGCACAAGATAGCTCCATTGTAACCACTTTTTTATGATTTTCTTCACAGTCTGAGATAAATGAAAAGCTGCAAATGCAGGAAGATGCTTACACTGAGAGAATAGACAAATTAACAAAGATCTAAATAGCTAGACAAGAAGGGTGGCACTGAGTTTTACAGAAATCTACAAAACAGAAGACAACAATTGCATTAATTTAATTATTTTGAACATAGATAGCTATTGACTTAATGCTTATTTAAGAAGTGTTAATCCAAATGATTAGTTCATACTTAATAAAACAAAAGACAGGGAATTACAGTGCGAACATAGTTTGAAAAATGAAGTTTGACTCTTAATGAGCAATGACAATAAATGTTCACATTTTTCAGTAAAACTAGTGTTTTGTCTTCCTCCTACTGCAAAATGGTATTTAAAATATGTCACCTCACCTCACATAATCTGTTATATTTTCATCAAATGTTTCAAAATAGAAATCTGAAAAGAGAGAGAACATTATATGAAGACCTCACACACATCATAAGGACAAAATGTTATTAATGAGTAATGACACACTCAAATTACAATGCTGTTCTTAAATTCAGATTGTTTCCTAAACTTGTTAAAATGTAATATTTTAATATTTCTTGATATGCATCACATTACAATTACATCCATACGGGATTGGATTCTACTGTTCCTACTTCTCTGACTCGTTTTAGTGGGAGTTTTCCCTAAACACAAGAAATCTTTCCATTTGGGCTGCATTTGATACTTCTGTGTACATTAGTACCGGTCTGTATTTTGTCGGGTATTGTATACATGTTGTTCAGTCCAAAATGAGACTTAGCAAATAAATGGCAACAGGAAGCCAGGTTAATAATGCATTATGTTTTGGAATTGTGAAACACTTTAATTTTCATATTACAGAGCCCCGAGCATTTGAAAGTATTTGGATAAATATGAGGTATACTTCTAAACACAAACCTTAGGTGAAATGTTCAATGGGTTATTGAAAATAGAACATTTTATTCAGTAAACCTGTTTACTACATATTTGTTTCTCATAACATATTAAGCAAAAAGTTAATTTTCTTTAATTCTCAGTTTTGTGGTAAAAATACACATTAATTAAAAACGTGTCTAAAACTGGTTATAAAGAAAAATGGTTAGGAAGGTTACCTAAAGAATGTTGTTGCCATTGTTTCACTTTAATACATACGAATTTGCTTTGTACAGAACAGAGAACACACCCAGAAGGTGGCATTATTCATCAACTAGAATTTCCAAAATAAACATCCAATCAAAACAACTAGGTGGGATTTGGTGGATAGTATATTGGAGAACATATTCCAAATTGGTTCTTTATGACCTTTTAAAGTAACTATCATAATTTTGTGGACAGAATTTTTTTTTATGTATTACTCATCTACCTAATCCAATTCTTTACCAATATTTCAGTCAAGAAAAGGTGAACTCTATGACAACTGATTACAGCTGATTATGTTCATGCTTCTGATTTTTATCACCCTTGGTTTCTCTTCCTTCTTTATCTACAGAACTAGTCAGTGAATGCATGAGGCCTTGATCCAACTCTAAATGCAAACAGTTCTGAGTATAAACACAAAAAATAACTCATAAGGATTTTTGTATGAAAATTATTTTAAAATCTTCTTGAAATATCCTCATATTCCAATAAAGTAAATAATTTTTCATACAAAATCTTAAGATTAAAATTGTCAGTGTTTTTGAGATTCTGGCTTGAAAGTAGGCCTTATAAATTAAACGTACCTCTTAATTAGGAAAGGGTATCTTTTACTGTGAAGTGTTATGCAAGTATGCAATGTTGGTAGCTAGTAGAGCTGTGTGAAATGTGATAGCAATGTAAAAACGATCACCATCTTGCTGAAGGGTTAAATGAAATGGCCTGATGTTCTTTTGCATAAAGACAAACATTAAACAATACCTAGTTATCCTTATCATATTCTAGATTCTACAGCATTCTTGGGAGCTTTATAAAGCACTATGAAATTGGGAAGTATACTAGGAACACTAAGTATTTTACGGTAATATGTTAATATGAAGACCTAGTATAAATGCAAATAGCTGAGGAACCAAATAAAACTTCTGAATCAGTTTAAATTTTGTAGGCTGTATTTCAACAAATGCAAAATATTGAGCTGAGAACAGACTTCATGTAGTTCTTTAGATCATGTGGTATTAAAATAGTTCAAACAGGTTCCTGCCCTGAAGAGTTTCAATCTACCATAAATTGGACATACTGTTAAGGGGGAAAAAAGAGTAGAGAGACATTTGGTTTTGTCTTCACTGCCAACAAAGATGTGCATTTGATGTGAAATAATTAAAGTGTGTTAACTATTCCACATTAAAGTCCTAATGGAGATAAAGGCTAGGGACAGAAGTTACAGATAAACTGGTTTAAGTTATCAGAAACTGGTTTAAACCTGTAATGGAACAGAAGTTCAGTGCACATAAACCAGTTTTAAAATGTCTGAAACTGGTTAAAATAAACCTGGTTGAATGTAGAATCAGACTTAATTGATTTAGCTCAAACCAGTTTATGAAACTTCTGTCCCAGGCCCCTTCCTGGTTCAAGTTAAATCACAGTCCCCCAGCATGCTTTGCAGCCCTGGGCTGAGCTCTGCTCCAGAAAGCAAGGTTGGCTGTGTCCCTCTGCTCCATAGCTGGAGCAGTGAGGGCTGGCTGATAAGGGGGTGGGGTGGAAACCCCTGCTGGGACTGCAGTTGGGTCTGCCTGGGGGTCAGAGGCAGCTCCTGCCAGACTTTTCCCTGCTGAAGCGGGGGGTCAACAGCCTGTGAGGGTCTGCTTGGGCTGGTGTGAGCAAAGAAAGCAAAGAACTACATTTACATTATAAAATGACAAAAGACCAGCAGACTCCACACCTGCCCTGCCCACCTCTGGAAGAGACTGAGGCAGTCAAGCAAGTTGATAAGGGGAGGGGGAGAGAGTGTAATTCCCCTCAGCTCTGCAAGGCCACAGGGGAGGGGGGAAAGGCTGGGGAACTGGGGCTGGAGTAACTGGTCCCCTGGCACCTGTGAGCACAGGGATCTCCACTCCAACACCTAGGACCACCTGCTGATTCCCCAAGAAGGACTTTCTGGATACCAGGCTGCAAGGAGACGCACGGCCATCAGGATTATGTAAGACTTACACAAGTCTTTCTCTTGTCTTCTTGGTTTACATTTTAAATTAGAGTAAGTTGCATGTGCTCTCACTGTGTTTTCTTGAGCTGTATCTTAGCTTAGGTGAAGATTTTTGGTTGTTCTTTGTTGTGTACTTAAGGCTGCAAATTTCTGTGTTCAATACATTCTCACTTCAGAGAGAGAACTATTCTTGCTTAAGTTTTTATGAATTCAATGCCACTACCTTTTTCCTCACCCACCCACCCTCTTCTCAGCCTGGCAGCCTCAAGCAGGGAGCTAGAGGGGGAGGAAAGGAGGCAGAAGCCTGGCAGGCAGTGCTTCCCTGCCCAGGCAGGCCTGAGGTGGGGTCCCCTGTGGGCCAAGGAGCAGATTTAAACTTCCACCCTCCAGTGTGCTAGCCCAGGGTTGGGGCCTGGCCATGCCCCCTCCACTGGAGCAAGGAGGAGGGGAAAGCCGTGGAGTTTCTGTCCCTGCCTTTTGCCAGTGGTTAGCAGGCTGGGAGCTATGCACTCTCCCCAGCCCCACCCCCCATTCCTACCCAGGTGCTGCTTCCCTCATCACTTTGTCTGTGGCTTTGTTTCAAGCTCCTGCCCCAAGTGGTGGGACAGAGCAGGGTAGCTTGGCATAGCATGTGGCACTGAGCAACCATGCAGTCTGATACAGTGTGGGAGAGCCCCTGGCTGGGAAGCTGAAGGTAGTCTGGAATGCGTGGATGTGCATGGTGGAGAGCGTCTGTGTGCATGATGCAGAAAGGGGGGAAGTACCTGTGAGCTCCAGAGCCCATGCTTATTCTGGTGTGGCCCATATGCCATGCCACCTGCTAGTGCAGGCTTCTGTGGTGTGTGGCCCCCAGCTGCTGAGAAGTCGGACAGCAGGCCTGTGCCAAGCTGCAAGTATTTGATTTGGATTTGGCTGATTTGGAGGGACAGTGATTCAGTTCAGTGATTTGAATCACTGTCCTGATTCGATTCGGCCAAACTGGATCCAAAAATTCAGTGATGCTTCAGAAATTTGGCCATAGACACGGAGGCAGCAGTCCTCAATGCTGGGCACAGCTGCCTCCAGCTAGTAAGTCCGTTGTTGTGGGTGGAGGGGTGAAGGAAAGAGCATGGGTGGGGAGCAGATCAACACCCCCACAGTGAGGAAGGGATTGGGAATGGGGATGGGACCTGGGCAGCAGTAAGCACTGCCCAGAGAGGGGGTGGGGTGGCTCATGCTGCTGTGTGCCACCGGTCTGGGAGCTGTTCATGTGGTGACTTGTCCAGCAGCTCTTGCTGCTGCTTCTGCCACCAGTCCAAAAGTACATGGGGTGGAGGTGTTTGCCCCAGGATCTGTGTGGGGCAGGCAGGGCCAGGCCTGTGCTGGGCAAAAGGCAGAAGGTGCTGGGAGCAGCAGCTATGTCCCCCCACTCACCCAGCCACTGTGGGGCCAACACAAAACTGAGCCCCTGTGCTGCCTCTGAATGGACAGCAGCTTTGCCCTGGGTAAGCAAGTGACAGCAGGGCATGCCAAGGGGAACAGTGTGCCTCTAGATCGGGACAGGGCAGTCAGTGGAGCAGTGGCTATGGAGGGTCTGCATTGAGTTTCAGGTGGCACATGCCCCCCCCCATTCCCTGCTGCCACTTGCCCAGCCAGAGCAAAGCCACCACTCATCTGTGAGATGTGGGGAGGCCAGGCCAGCTCCCACTGCTGTGCACCACTTGTTCAGAGGCAGTGCAGTGACTCAGTCTCATGCCAGCCCTGTACCTGCTGCATGAGTGGCAGGGGGTATAGCCCCCACTCACAGCACCTTCTGCCTTTCTCCCGGCACAGCCCCAGCCCTGCCTGCCCTGCGCAGATCCTAGGGCACATGTCCCCACCCCATGCCCTCCCAGACCAGTGGCAAGAGCAAGATGAGAGTCACTGGACAAGCCACCACACCAGTAGCTCCCGAACTGGCAGTGCACAGCAGTGTGAGCCACCCCACCCCCTCCCTGGCCAAGGCTGAGCTCCAGGCCCTGGCTCCACCTATTCCACAGAGCACAGCCCAGTGGTGGGTGGCTGGGGCTAGCCTCCCAGAATGCAGCCCTGGCTCTGCCCACCCCACAGAGTGCAGCCTGGCAGTGGGGGCTTACCACCCGGAGTGCAGCTCTGGCCAGAGAGGAGGTGGGGTGGTTCATGCTGCTGTGCACCACTGGTCTGGGAGGGCATGGGGCTGGGGCATGTGCCCCTGGATCTGTGTGGGGCAGGCAGAGCCAGGGATGCACTGGGTGAAAGGCAGAAGACACTGGGAGCGGGGCCTATGCCCCCCCACTCTCCCAGTTGTTGCTTGGCCAACACAAGACTGAGCCACTGCACTGGCCCTGGACAACTGGTGCATAGCAGTGGGAGCTGGTCTGGCCTCCCCCCACCTCACAGACAAGCAGCGGTTTCACCCTGGCTGGTCAAGCAACAGCAGGGCATGGCAGGGGGAGCACATACCATCCAAAAACTCACCGCAGCCATCCCATAGACCCCACTTGCCCTGCTCTGATCTGGAGGCACACCCCCCCCCACCCCGCATGCCCTGCTCCTGCTAGCCCCACACCAGCTGAGCAATGCAGCAGTAGGGCATGGCTGGGGCATATGCCACCTAAAAACTCACTGCAGCCCCCCTATAGCCCCCGCTCCACCGGCTGCCCCACCCTGGTCCAGAGGCACATGCCCCCCTCCCCCACATGCCCTGCCAATACTCGCCCAGCTGAGGTGAAGCCACTGCTCATTTGGAGGCAGTACAGGGGCTCAGTCTTGCACT